GGATTTTAGTGCTACAAATTATTAAGTTTCTTTTTTAAATCACATTTTAGAAGATGTTAGTAATCCCTACAAATTCTAATCGTCTATGATTCTTTAACAATAACTCGTCTTCAATTTTTTTATCACATTCAGTCAGCGACAAAGGTGAAAATGGTAGACATGTTAACACAAAAACCTGCCTAACGCCAGCAACCACTGTGGAGAGCAGGACAGGTGAGCAGGAACAGAAGTGGTTCTAGCCAGTGTCCGAACCTCAGGGTGTAGTCACATTTATGAGTCTCTACACCTCATACTTCCTTGAGAGTTCAAACTGACCAGTCCCTTGGCTTGTTGTAAGAATTACACAGGTTTATTCCTCTTCCATGGGTTGAGAGCTGAACGTTGGGCAAAACCCTTTGTTATAGAGCACACTAATAGGAAGTGTCTCGTTAATGCCGTTTTTGAATCCTACTATATTGTAGGTGCTTAAAGTATATTCCCCTGTGTAATAAATATGCAACTTAAAATCCCTCCTTTATCCCCTGGAATCATTCATAAGCAAATATTAGTGTGTGCTAACAAGCTCCTTTAATTGGAGGACCAAAGGCAGGTTTCTCTTCAGCCCTGGCTTAAGGTGCTCCTAAACTCTTCTTTCATGATTTAGAAGCTTTGGTTTTATCACCAAAGGTGATTGCCTTTCTTCTGTCTAGGAGTTTTCAGTTTAGAATTAAGAGGACTGGCTTTGAAGTCAGACGAATCTTGCTTTGGATCTTAGCTGTAACATTTAAAATAGGAATAAACTCTCTGAAACTCGTTTTCCTTATTTGTTCAATGGGATCGTTAAAAACATGTACTTCATAGAGCTGTTTTGAATATTAAATGAGATGATACACATACAACCTCTGGGACAAAACGTTACGTAAGGTTGGCTTTGGCTATATTTTATGACCACGGTTGTGATCATCGTATAGTCATCAGAGGCAGCCGGTGGCTTGAAAGCATTGTCTGGGATCATCCGTTTCCTTGCATTTGAAAAGCACTGTCTCTTCACATGTTTTATCATCTTCCAGGAGGCTGGTTCTCGTTTTTCACATAAAAGTGTTCTCTGCAAGCAGTAAGAGAAGTCCATCCCTACACGTAAATACTTTTCAAGTCTCTGCTGCGTCGCATTTCCTAATGTCCCGTTGGCCAAAGCAGATCACATGGCCAAGCCCAGAGACAAGCAGAGGAAATGAACTCCACCTCTTCAGGTGGGAGGCTGCCACATATCGGCCCGTTTTTCCTTTTAGTCTACCACAAATAGTAAGCAATAAATAGATTCTCGTCATCTTGAGAAAAGACAGTCTTCTTTCTGTTGATAATAAAGCTGTGCTTACATAAGCACTTAATCATTTCTAAGCCTTAGGAGGTGACTTTGATAGGGATCCTTTTTCCCAGGTGAAAATAACTGGCATTCGGAGAGTTTAAATGGCCGTGCCTGACTTGACATACTAAGTCAGCTTGGACAAGATTTTGAAGTCTTCTGATTGAGATCATGGTTCTTCCTAGAGTATTGGACTTAGCTTATTAAAATTACTCCCCTTTAACATTTGTGACAATTTGGTACCATTACTTTGTTTTTCACTATGACCCAGTGGTCATTAGTTTCCCAGTGAGCTTGATCCCTGTGCTCAATTCTCAAGACATAAGAATAATCCATTTACAAAACAGAAGATAAGCTTCTTATAACTTTGTAATCTAATTCTAGCCTCGGTTGTTGTTTTGTCCTTTTGAAAGCATCGTAACCCATCTCCTTCAATGAGCCGTATTGTAAGAGGTTGGACTGCTTATGAAGGGGTTAAATGTGTTCTTACGGTCATAATAAGTGCCTCCCTTTCAGTTTCACTGAGTAACTTAAGGCCATCCTTGCACTAGTCTTGAAATCTGGATGAACAGTAGCCCTGAAGGCCTGATAAATTTCACGCTCACTTACAAGGCCATATAAGATCAAGATCAAGGTTATATATTAGAGCTACGTAACCATGATCCACAGTGGTTCCATAACTGTGTTTGGAATTTAAACAATTTAAACCTAAAACTCAAGTTACTTACATTCCTGCCCTCTCCTACCTTTGTTATTTATTTATTGGTTGAGAAGATTAATAATAATGTTTATTTTGTATTATATTTTATAACTTTCACATACTTCATTTAATTTTCACAGAAGATTGGGACATAGAATAATATGGATACTATTATAAAATCTGTATCTCCTTGTAGATGAGAAAAATTAGGCTCCAAAAGGTAGGCTGCTTTCCTGAGATCATGTGGCCAGAAAGGAGTGGAGCTCAAGCTGAACGTGCACCCCACCTGCCACCCCTCATTTTCCTGACTTAAAGCATATGCTTTCTTCATTACCACGTTGCCTCAGTTTACCTTTGCAAAGCCATGGAGAACATGCTGACTTCATTCTGGTCTCCAGTACAGTTTGTTTTGGATTTAATTATATACTGAATCACACTGTTATTTAACTGTTTCATAAGTTCTTGTTTCCTTAATGATATGGTGAGCTTTTTTAGGCACTTTTTCCTCCTCTCTTTCTCCTGGCATCAGCCACCATCCCGTTGGGAACCTGAGGCAGGCAGCAAATACTTGTAGAACCAGCCCCGCTTCTCACTAAGAATGACCCAAGCTGAGTCTGTCCGGCGGCCGCTGGAAAATGACGGGTTTTTTACTGTCTCATGTGCTTGCCTCTTTAATCGAAAGCAGATGCCAGACTGCCCCAGAAACCCTCAGGTTTGTTTTCTCCCCTTTTATCTAGGCTTCCCTAAAGTACATCTGCTCACATCCTATATTCATCCACGATTATCAGGCCCCGCGTGGTGGGTTTAAAATAGCTAACATGCACAATCGTCAGACATTTTGGAGGCCTGCTGCAGGACCCTGCAACAAGTTGAAGGGCTGTGAAGGTCAGTCTCTCCTTAGGCTTGCAGTGAAGGCCTAGGCAGTTTCTGGTAGCCGCAGGGAAGATTTCTTTGGTCAGCATGTGCCATCCCCTGCCCCCATCCCAGCCCCTCACTCCTCTCCTCCCCTCCTTTGTTAAGGCCACGTGCTGCTTCTTAGCTCAGCATCCCAAGCCTACATTCTATTTTGAGACTACCTAGTCTTTGACTTAGTTAAGCCACGTCATATGTAACATACTGCGTTCTCCTAGGTTTGCAAACCTCCATTGCTTTTTACTAAAACTTATTTTTGGGTGGTCAGTAAATGTCAGCGTCTCACCACTCTCCTCCTCTTATTTTTACCAGTTCCTTTCAAGCTGTAAGGAATGCTGCTGTAAGTGGTTGGAACCTTATTAGGTATTCATTCTTTTATTCATATTTATTCACAGGCAGTTTGCTTGATGCTAGGATGTTATTTATAAAGAGCAAAAGCAGGCAGGATCCCTGTGTTGATAGTTTTTATGGATTGACAGGGAAGAGAGGCTTCAATCAAATGTTTAGATAGATAAGCGTGGATTGCCGTTCTGGTAGGCGCTGCAAAGGAAGAGACACGTGAAGATCCCTGGGGCTAGAACCACAGGCAGGCAGATCAGAGAACTTTGCTGGGGAAGGGATCCTGGAACTGAGATCTGAAGGCAGAAGAGAGCTTACAAGGCATGGAGAAGGGAGTCAAGTAAAAGGGCAGTTATGACACAGTATGACCCATACCTCTGTTCTAGTACCAACAAATGTGTGTGCAGGTTTGGGGGTGGACAGGATATAGTGGGGAGACTTGACATTACCTGAGAGAATTAGGGAAAACATCCCTCAAGAGTGTCCATTAAACTCAGTCAGGAAGGATGAGTAGAAATTATGTGAAGAAGAGGAAGGGGAAAGAAGACACTCATGGGAGCCCACAGAAGGGCCCAGCAACGTAGAGACCAAGTAGCTGGAGGAGGTGAGGGTACAGACAGGGACACGCCATGAATGGTCTTTCAGGTAATGGCCGTGTAACATCTTACATGCAGAGATTCTTACTGCTGCATCTAAAACAGTTTTCCTGGGCTAGAAACTTTTTCCACCAACCTCAAGAATAAAATACTATGTAAAAGTCCAATTGATGTGTACATTTCAAAGTAAAATTATGAGGGACTTCCCTGGTGGTCCAGTGGTTAAGACTCCACACTCCCAGTGCAGGGCACCTGGGTTCAATCCCTAATCAGGGAACTAGATCCTGCGTGCTGCAACTAAGGCCCGGCGCAGCCAAATAAATACATAAATATTCTTAAAAAAAATTATGGGAGGACACACACACTCTTCACCAGTGATATCAGGTTCTCTTAAAAAGGCCCAAGTTAGTGGACTCCAAATTGAAACTGGGAATGAGTGAAATCTGAATTAGGAAACTTACTCTGTAGGAGGGTTCTTTCTTTTCACATTCGTGGCACTACCACCTGTCCCCTTTCTTTTCATGTGTACTTTCCTGAAGGTGAGATGGGTACTCCTGCTTTGTGAACATCCTCAGATGGAGGGAACTTACCCCTGCTCCCTTTCCCATCTGACTTTCATCATCTTCCATCAGGGACTTCAATAAAAGGTGACTTCAAAGAAAATGAACCTAACAAATTTTAAATCGAAGAGGCTGTATTTTTTTTCTTTTCACTTTTCTTAATCTTCCCTATACCAGGTATGATCAGTGATAGGTACTTGACGGACATAGTACCCAGAGGCCTAGAGTGAGTTTTATCTTAATAGCTTGTCTACCTGAATCTCTTCCAGGTGAAAGGATGAGGAATTTTTTTTTTTCCTAGCAGGTTGCCTGCTATATTGGTTTGCTGTACAAACAGAAGACCCCCTTGGACTGCCAATGTGTTATCTTGTAAATTTTTTCTTTGTAGTCAAGGAAGAAAGTCAAGTTATATGGTAATTATGCTTGTTTGTTACCACAGAAGAAAAAACTTAAGAAAGAAATTATTGCATAGTTGATATAGATGGTGATGAAAAACAGAATCCTACTAAAGACACTGGATTTTCATGACAATATTTATTGTTCTAAAATAGGATGAAGAGGAAGAAATCAAACAAGAAATTAACATGTTGAAGAAATATTCTCATCACCGGAATATTGCTACATACTATGGTGCTTTTATCAAAAAGAACCCACCAGGCATGGATGACCAACTTTGGGTATGTAGTGCTGCCCAAATTTGCTTTTCTTACATAGAAAACACCCAGGACTGAATATGCATTTCTCTATCCTCATTACTGAAATGCATTTCTCTATCCTCATTACTAGGTTCAGTTGTTCTTTGAAATCCTTTACTCCATGATATCCATAAATTGTGTTTTCGACGTTTTCTCCCATTTCCTTGAATAACTCTCTATCTCCTATCCCTTAATGTGGACCGTCCCTAAAGCTAGTTGTTAGGTTCTCTGTTTTTTTTCCCACTAATGACTACCTTTATTGAGTTTTTATTATACTTTAGGTACCATGCTGTTTGCTTTTAATGAATCTCATCATTTATTCCAGCTCTTTGAGGTAGACATTATTATTAGCTTCATTTTTTTGTATGACAAAACTAAGGTTTACAGAGAAGTAAACTCATGTCCTGTATCTTGGCTTAAACATCTTTGCTGCACGCAGTTTCGCCACAAGCAGTTTCGCCACAAAACTCATTGTCCATAGACAGTTTTGCTGTAAAAGATAAAATAATGAATATAAAATAAAGGACAAAAGGAAACATGAAAAACTAATAACAATTTTTAAAAGATTTTACTGTGAAAAATGAAAGTTCAAAAAATATTTGAATATGTTTAAAAATGTGTGTAGATCTATGGTTATAGTTGTATTCAGGTATATTTTAGAGAAAGCTGGTATTGAATTCAGGTATATTTTAAAGACTTTTTTGATGTCCGTCATTAAAGATTCAGGATCTAATATTGAATGTAAGTTCTTTACAATATAAAAAATACAGAAAATGCAATAATCAAAGTAAAAAATGCAAATAGCTAATTTAAGAAATATATGATGAGAAGGAATTTAGTAGCCTTTAGAGATGAAGAGTTTTTATAAATCAATAAGAAAATATGTGAAATGATTAATAGAAAGATTGAGTTAAGACAAGGCAGCAATTAACAAAGTAATAAATATCAATTACCAATAAAGTGTAATCTTACTGACAATATAAATGCAAAAGAAAACAAGAATTAGATACCACTTCTTACCCAGGAGACTGGCAAAGGTTTTTTTTAATGATATACTCAGAATGGACATTCACGCCCCCTGCTTGAAATGAATGTTGGTACAACTTTACACAAAGACAGTTGGAACACACACACACAGACACACACACACACACACACACACACACACAGAGATATCTATATCTGTATCTATATCTATATTTAATCTCCCAAAGAAAATGCCTTACTTTTGACCCAGTATTTTCACACACAGGAATGTATCCTAAATGAATATTTGGGTAACTACATAAAAATATATGTAGATGCTAACTAATAGGGAATCACTTAAGTAAATCCATTAAGGGACAATATTCAGCCAGTTAAAATGATGTAGATCTATGTTTACAAATGGATGAATGTGAACGATTATAGTAAGCATTTTTAAAAGCTTTTTTAGAGGCTATGATTAGATATAGTACATTTTCTTTTTTTGTGTCAAAAAAAGAAAGAAAAAGGAAAAATATATATATATACATATATTAACATGACGGGGGTGTCTAGAATAATGTACGCCAATAATGTTGAAGATATTTGTTTCTGGGTAGTAATTTCAGTAATTTAATTCTGGAAACTTTTTTTCATGTCTTTCTTAATTGCTTCTCATTGGGCTATCTTTGCTCCTCACATAGACAGGCTCTGAGGACAAGGAATGTGTCTTTTGCATCTCAGTGTCTTCCTCAACACTAGGAAGGGGCTGGGCATGTGATGCTGACAAAATAGTTGTTTTATGAATGAAAGTGATATTATTGGTACAAACTTGGTTGCTATGATTATGATTATTACTACTACTATTACTGGTTCAAACCAATAATTGCTACAGATACTTGTGAGAGTTCAGTTTCCCTGTGGCCTGCATGTTCAGCAGGATACGATGAGATGGCACCAGTTTAAATATCTCTGTGTTCCCAAAGGACTTTTATACTGCCAGGAGTCTAACATTTTAGCAATGACCCCTGCCTTACTTCAAGCTGCAGCAGATGACAAGAGGAGAATGATAGCTATTTTGATACTGTCTGCAGAAGCATTTTCTGGTTTGGTCAGAGCTATGGCTCCAGATTAAAAGAAAGCATTAATACAGCTTTGGAATCACCTCTGGCTTATCACTTGAGGTAGTACAACCATTTCCAGATGAGTCACACGTAACTATTAATATCATTCCTTTCGTGAGATGGGCCAGACCGGATAGTTTTCTTATTAGGCTGAACTATTAAAATTTAGGTATATATATTACAAATCATTGGCTGAGGAAGGAGAGGAGTGGTCAAGCAGGGCTTGACTTTTTTTCACCTTTTTCCTAATGCTGAGATTTTTTTAAGCTGGAAAGAAAATTAGTTGTCATTTATTTTACAGTGAAGCTAATTGTCTTTCTCAGAGCCTCCGAGCTCATTAATGGATGGACACGTGACAAGAATGCAGATGTCTTGAAGTGTGACAGTTTAGCTTGGCCTGAAGTTCTGCAAAAGGCACTGGAAGTTTTGGGGTTTTTAAATTTTTTTTTTTTTTTAATGAGCAAAATCTGCAGTCCATTTTCAGACTGGCACTGGAAGAAAGAAGCAAGCCTGTTTGCATCTGCACGGCACAAACAGGAGGTTTTATCCTCTGGAAACAAGTCACTGCCCACCATTTCGCACCCTGGCCAGTGACTCTTCCCGTGGAGATGGCTGTGGTTCCTGGGAGCTAGGAGCCTGCATGAGTATGTGTCCATTTATTCATCCATTCCTTCATCCATCCAACAAATACATATCAAGCAGTTGCTAGACGCAAGGCACTCTTACGGACACTTATGATATATCAATGAACAAAAGTGATAAAAGCCCCTACCTGCAGGCAGCTTAATTCTTGCTACAGACCACAAACAATGAACATAATAAGTCAGAAAGCTACTCAGCATGCTGGAGGAGGATAAATGCCTGGAAGAGCAGGGAACGATTAATGAGGATTGTGGGTAGGTGCTGCAGTGGCCAGGGGAAGCCCCATTGTAGATACCTGGAGGAAGGGCATTCCAGGCCCAGTGTTTTCCGGGAATAACAATGAGGCCAGTGTGACTGGAAGATGTGGGAATGAGACCTGGGGCCAGATCAGGCAGGGCCTTACAGGACATTGGCATGATGTCAGCTTTTACTCTGAGTGAGCTGGGGGCCACTGGAGGGTTTTGAAGATGAAGGGATGGAATCTGACCCATAGAGTGAAGGGGTCCCTCTGGTTGCTGGGTTGAGACTAGACCAGATGGGGGCCAGAGGGGGAGCAGCAAGGCCAATGAGGAGACTGTTTCAGCAAGCTGATCCCCTTCCTGAAGTTCACAAAGGGGCGTCTGCAAGTAGTGATCACTTCCAAACCTGTGCCACGGGGGGAGGAACTCTGCCTTCACATTCCATTTTCCCCACCTGCAGTCAAATGCTGGTGGCAGAATGCGGCAATTATGTGCCCCACATTCTGCTTGGTAGACAGAGAGCATCCCTTTTGTCAGATGTGTGCCCATGCAAAGGACTCTTCTGACTGTCCCCACTAGAAATGGTCCATTAGCTTCATGTCACTGGGGATAAAAATACAAAGCTATGAAATGCCTCATGGGTACAAGAGCATCATTTCTTTTTCTAGTTGTTCTTCTTCTATTTGATGGCAAACTAAGGAGGAACTTAGAAAATTAAAGGAAGAACAGAAACATAATAGTTGGCAAATTAACACCAGATCATAATATTGATGGGAACTTGGTTATAGAATATATTAGTGTGTACTTGTTCCAAGACCTCTGACTCACTAAATTTGGGCCATTCCGTGTTAATAACAATGGCAAGTAATATTTAGCACCTACCTACCGTGTGCCAGGTCCTGTATTTGTTCGCATTGTCATATTATTTCATTAGGTCTTCACAATCCCTCTACAAATTAGATATTCTCATTATCCCCACTTTACAGATGAGGAAATTAGCCTCAGAGCAGTTAAGAAGTTTGCTTAAGGATTCACAACTAGTGAGTGATGAAGCCAGTGTATTAGCTAACCCCAAGGTGCCTCATGCTAGAATCAAGGCCCCTGAACCCTACATTCTTCTCCTTTTTGTTGTGAAAAATAGTTCCAATAGTTGGGAAAATAGTTTCAGAGGTTGGTGTTCCAAATAGGACTGAAGCTTTGCCTTTACACAAATCTATTTTGAGTTCACTGTTCATCTTCATTTGTCAGTTTCCCCAGCTTTCAAAGAGGACAGCAAGACCTGCTAGCTGCTAGGAAGACAGTATTTCTTAAGTCTAAGAAATATACTTTGAAAAGCACATTAAACCTTTTGGGAGTGTTTTAGCAAATAGTTGCAAAGGTCACAGAGAGTTGACTCTTTGGGCTAATGGCATTCTGTTAGGATTACATTTATATAAAAATATTATTATGGATTGTATAGAGACAGAGCCTGTAGCAACCAAGCGCAGCACTCTCTAACATTTATTCCCAGTTTTCAGGTGACAGGAACTATTCCCCAGGTATTTCTTTTGCTGTGGCTGGAGGACAGAGGTTTGCACATAGGCCACCAACCAATATATGTGCTGTTTCAGGTGTCTGATTGAATTATAATCTGTGTGAATTCTATCGGTCTTGTCGTAGAGATAAACTGTTGTTTAGTACCAGCTCTTTGTGGAAATACAACTACTTCTGATAATGGCCAAGTAATTCTCCCTTATCAACTGCTCAGGGCCTGATCCGGAAATCAAAAAAGGGAGCTCTTTCAATAAAGATTCCGATCTCTCCGAAACAAGGCGAACCCTGACACACAACATGGCCATCTCATTCTGCTGCATCTCAGCAAAGAGAGGCTCTCCACTTTGCTGCACCATTCAGACACCGGGAGTGAGAAGGCCTGTCTATTAAATGGGTTAATTTCCTAAAGTTAGAAAGCGAAATCACACATGTTTTGCTACCTTTTTTTGATACCACCTCAACAATCACGGGTCTAGACTAC